TGATTTCAATTCATTTCACAAGTCTGGGATCAATAAAATGTCATATTGTTTGCTTATCTACAGTGGGGAAAATAAGTATTTAGTCAGTCACCAGTTGTGCAAGTTCTCCCACTTAAAAAGATGAGAGAGGCCTTTAATTGACATCATAGGTAGACCTCAACTATGAGAGACAAAATGTGAAAAAAAATTTGAGAAAATCATTTTGTCTGACTTTTAAAGAATTTTTTTGCAAATAATGGTGGAAAATAAGTATTTGGTCACCTACAAACAAGCAAGATTTCTGGCTGTCACAGACCTGTAACTTCTTTTTTAAGAGGCTCCTCTTTCCCCCACTCATTACCTGTATTAATGGCACCTGTTTGAAGTCGTTAACAGTATAAAAGACACCTGCCCACAACCTCAAACAGTCACACTCCAAACTCCACTATCGTGAAGACGAAAGAGCTGTCGGAGGACACCAGAAACCGAATTGTAGACCTGCACCAGGCTGGGAAGACTGAATCTGCATTAGGCAAGCAGCTTGGTGTGAAGAAATCTACTGTGGGAGCGATAATCAGAAAATGGAAGACATACAAGACCACTACTAATCTCCCTCGATCTGGGGCTCCACGCAAGATCTCAGCCCGTGGGGTCAAAATGATCACAAAAACGGTGAGCAAAAATCCCAGAACAACAAGGGGGGATCTAGTGAATGACCTGCAGAAAGCTGGGACCAATGTTACAAAGGCTACCATCAGCAACACACCACGACGCCAGGGACTCAGATCTTGCAGTGCCAGACTTGTCCCCCTGCTTAAGCCAGTCCATATCCAGGCACGTCTGAAGTTTGCTAGAGAGCATTTGGATGTTCCAGAAGAGTATTGGGAGAATGTCATATGGTCAGATGAAACCAAAGTAGAACTATTTGGTAAAAACACAACTCGTCGTGTTTGGAGGAAAGTGAATGCGGAGTTGCATCCAAAGAACACCATAACAACTGTGAAGCATGGGGGTGGCAACATCATGCTTTGGGGCTGTTTCTCTGCAAAGAGACCAGGACGACTGGTCCGTGTACATGAAAGAATGAATGGGGCCATGTATTGTGAGATTTTGGGTGCAAACCTCCTTCCATCAGCAAGGGCAATGAAGATGAAACGTGGCTGGGTCTTTCAGCATGACAATGATCCCAAGCACACTGCCAGGGCAACAAAGGAGTGGCTTTGTAAGAAACATTTCAAAGTCCTGGAGTGGCCTAGCCAGTCTCCCAATCTCAACCCCATCGAAAACCTTTGGAGGGAGTTGAAAGTCCGTGTTGCCCGCCGACAGCCCCAAAACATCACTGCTCTAGAGGAGATCTGCATGGAGGAATGGGCCAACATACCAGCAACATTGTGTGCCAACCTTGTGAAGACTTACAGAAAACGTTTGACCTCTGTCATTGCCAACAAAGGATATACAACCAAGTATTGAGATGAACTTTTGTTATTGACCAAATACTTATTTTCCACCATTATTTGCAAAAAAAATTATTTAAAAGTCTGACAAAATGATTTTCTCAATTTTTTTTCACATTTTGTCTCTCATAGTTGAGGTCTACCTATGATGTTAATTACAGGCCTCTCTCATCTTTTTAAGTGGGAGAACTTGCACAATTGTGACTGACTAAATACTTATTTTCCCCACTGTAACACAATGACTGTGTAATTCTGTAACTGAATCATTAACCCTTTAATCAATATATCGATATGGATCCATTGTTACACTCCTAGTAAATAGAAAAAATAGGGATAATAGAAAGTTTCAATTCTGATCTTAGATAAAGTTCAGGTTAAAGTCAGGTTTTCAGTGGTCTACCTTCATAAAATACTGATTTTATGTTTTTTTATTAATCCCAAGAATTTAGTAAAATTTTGAGTAGATCTTTTATGAAGTTTTTCAAAGGGCCCCCCTAGAACTGCTTCAGTCCACAGCTGCTCGTTAACATTCAGATGTTTCTTGTTACTGTCAGTAAATATTGGCAGACCTGAGATAGACTTCTGGTATTCTGTTACAAATTAGTTATTTTGTTTTTAAAGATAATATCAAAAATAAAACCATTTAATTTTTTATGCAAATGTTTGTAAATTGGTAGTAAATGGTATATAGCATCTTTCTATCTAACCACGATACTCAAAAGCGCTTTACACTACAATCTGTGCCCTCATTTGCCCACCCACACAGCACACTACTGGCTCTCTACAAAGCTAACATGTACAAGGTATTGAGGTTTAAAAAATTGCACAAGAGGGCACCACCTGAAACCTGGCCCAGGGCACCAAATTGTTTTGGACCGGCCCTGGTTCAGATCACATTTTACCGGCAGATAAGTTGATCTCCTTCAAATGTCACGAGGCCTCTGCTCATCCACCCATAACTGTTTGCAGTGTCACGTGGGAAATAAAGCAAACAAAGCAGACTTAGGTGGGGTTCAGATGTGATTCCCTCGGTCGTCTAACCGCACCGTTCAGCTTCAGGAAGGCGCTCGGCAGCGGTCTCACCCCGTGCTCGCTCCGTTCAATGCAACGTGGCCGACGTTCTTCCAGCAAACATGTCATTCAGCTGTAAATGATGTTCCACGCAAGGTCACCTTGTGTAAAGGTTGGGGAGGAGGAGGAAATGAGCTGAGGGTGTAATTCATCTCTCCGCTGTCAGAGATATATATCAGTCAGAGGAAATCGAAGCGCAGGCAGTTGAATTCTGGGATAACAGAAGCTCAGATGTCTGTATTTATTAGGACGATAAACCGTTCTTCTGAGAGGTGTCACTCCTGGGTTTATTGCTGTAAAATGAACATTTTGACTGCGAGTTAGGAGCCTTCAGATGAGAGAACTTTGTGCAAATTTGCTCACAAAAAAAGAGGGAATCCATATCAACTTCTGCAAACATTTCTTGTTAAATTAAAAACCCAAGCATTCCTTGGAGGAACATATCACCCACTACTTTTCAGACCAAACTTTTAAAATAAGGCAATCTGGAAGTTGGAACCATTTTAGTCAATTCTTGACCATAACAAATTTTAGCCCAACAATTGTAAAACTGACTGAATGGGGACATTCATGCTAAGGTTGGGCGATGTTTTTAGCCGATAACGATTAATTAGACGATTAATCCCCTGGAGCCTCTGGACACCCTTATGTCCTGGTCTCAAGACCAATTTAGTGGGAAAGATTTGCTCTTCATAAAAATCTGTTCCAAATTGTCAAAATTACAGACTTTGAGCTATACATCAAATTATAAATAGTGTTGATAAATATATAAATTACAGAATTTTTTCTTTTTTTTTTATGTTCGTCATATTTGAAGCGGAGAGGAGCACCGAGCAGACCAACCGGGGAAATCTCCAGTCAATCTGCCTGGTGGAATTAATCGTATTAATTGTCAAGTGCCAAAAAATAATCAATTGTTTTTCTGACGATTAATTGCACACGATAAGATTATGCCCAACCCTACTTCATGCATACTATTTGCATTCATTATCTGCAGGTGTTACACCATATTTTGTGACCATCATCTATTATGACCAGAGGGGGCGCTGTTGCGTTTCTACAACAGAACTTTCCCGAACATTGCCACAGATGAACATATATCATATATTGTGACTTTACTGTATCTTGGTAAATAGTAACTGACATGTTGACTATTACTACTATTACTATTATTACTAATACAGTACATATGACAACAGCTGTCATTTTATGTGACCCTGTACTAATTTAATAACAGTCACCAGTGGTGAGAAACACTAATCCAAAAATTAGTTCCACTAGCCCTAAAACACTAACTCAAATGTTTAGGTCCCCTAATTCTAAAGCACGAATGCACTGAAAGTTTTAGCAAAAGTTAATTCTAAAGCACTAAAATAACCCAGTCAACCCATGAACATATTTCAATATGACTCACATATTGCTGTGTTGCTCTCTTAAGACTTATCATTGACATTCACAGCCGTATTTGGGTTCATATATTATCAATATATTGTCACTTAGTGGATAAGAGACACACATATGAACAAAATGTGTGTCAGCTTTCACCCTCAGCTGTTAATAACAACTTTGCTCAATAACATTTATAGACCTCAGTTAGTGCTTCTAAATTTAGCCTATAAATTTAGCAAGTGCTAATCCACCTATAAATTTTAAAATTAGCAAAGGCCCTAAAGCACTAATCAGAAAATTAGTTCCCCTATTAGTGCTTTAGGGGAACTGTGCCCACCACTGACAGTCACCATGTCAGTGATAAAAAGCTATTTTTCTGACATTAGGGGATGTAAAAATTTAGTAGAAACTGTTTTTGAATAAATATTTTACTATTAAGATAAAAATAAAATTAAATAAAAAAAACATGTTCACTGTTAAACATGGTCACAGAATATGACAGCTGTTGTCATATATTGTGACTTCACTGTAGCTTTGGTAAGTAGTAAAAATATTTATTTAAAAACTGTCTTTGCTGATAGTTTACATCATC